AACTTTTGTCTAATTCTTAGTATTTCGATATGTTTGGATAATATAAAATAATCTGAAAAATGTTCGAATAAAAAATAGAAATTACATTTATAGAATGATAGATATTTCTATGTATCAATTAAACAAACTTATTACGTAAATCCATCGTAATATAAGTTTTAAGGAACCAAATTTTTTTATTTTATAAATGAATGCAAAGCATCCTTACCTTCATCAAAATTGGACAGGATTCATAGATTCACTGAGCGTCATACAAAATCCATATCATCAAAGCAAGATCGGAGCTAGGAACAAAAAATTATGTGCATTTATACCCTCTCTATAAAAATATGAAATCCCAACTATAACCAAATTTATTTATTATTAAATAAACTATTTACCATCTCATCAATTTTTTTTACATAAAGTTTCTAGAAATTCAATTATTTTTTACATAATAGTTTAATAAAATTTGATGCTTTAAGTAACTTAATTCTTTTGGTATTTAATAATAACTCCTATATTATTAACTAATATATCTATCATCTTATAAATTTACAGTACACAAAGATTTTATAAGGTCATTTAACTTTTATATAATTTTTTAAAAGAACTGATACTATTTTTGCAACTTGATTTTATAATTAGACCATACATTATAAAATATTTACATAAGGTCATTCTATGATAGTTATGAAAATTACAAACACATTATGCAAAATTTAAAAAGTAATAAGTATTTCTTATTTATAAATTAAACAAACTTATTATGTAAGTCTTTTGTATTGATTAATACACTAAATAAAGCTTATCGAGGAATAGTTATTTTTTAAGTATCAAATTTTTGGGAAATGTATTTCTTATGTATTAATTAAACAAAATTTTACTTAAGTCTTTTGTAATATAAATTTAAACAAAATTTTATTTGTTATTGACTAAATTGTTGACCATTTTATCAATTTTCATTACATAAAGGTTTTGCAAAGTTATTATATGTTTTTTTTTTGGCAATATTAAAATCATGTTAATATAAGTTTCGAATAAATATTTCATTCTTATTTCTAAATTGTGGACCATCTCATCAAATCGCATTACAAAAAGTTTGTATAAGGTAAATTTTTTGTATAATTGTTCAATCAAACTTAATACTTTTCATAACTTAATTTCTTTATTAATAACTAAAATATTTATCATGTCATCAATTGCGTTACACAAAGATTTTATATGGTTGGTAACCTTATACATAACAATTTAAAAAAAGATGTGATACTTTCAATTACTTGATTTTATTTTTTGACCATATTACGAGCAATTATGTAAAATGATACATACATTACAAAAAACTCATGAATTTTTATTTATTTCTTATGGACCAGTTAAACAAACATAATTAGTATGTCTTTAAGAGTATTACTTTGAGTGAAAATTCCTTTATTATTAACTAAATAGTCGTCCATCTCGTCAATTAATATTAAGAAAAAATTAGTAAGTTAAATTATTTTTTACGTAACAGTTTAATTCAATATCATACTCTCTATGACTTAATTCCTTTATTATTAACTAAAATTCCTTCATCATTAAGAAAATATTAAAGTTTTCTAATGTGAATTAACTTTTACGAAATAGCTTAATTTCCAAAATCTAGTTTATATTTATGTTTCTCCCAAATCAATGATTTTTCAAATATAAGTTTTTAGTAAAATCATTATGACTACAACAAACCTCTATCTACACTTCAAATAAATGATTTAGCTTACCATTTAATGTAACTTAATAAAAAAATTCAACTTTATTTTTGACGATGCTGGAACAACTCAAGGTATCGAAATTATATGAATTCCATGCCCAAAATACCTACAAATTAGACACATGCAACGAAGCAAACAATATTGAGAAGAAAAAAAGAGAGAGGAAGAATTTCACGCAAAAAGATTGGTCCCAAAGGCCAATAGATAACAAAACGAGAAATAGATGGACATATGTTTAGATATATTATTCCGCTTGAAGAGTGACGGGAAAGAAAATGACAAGCATATACAGTGGAGATAATCACCGGAAATTAGCCCTCCATTCATCCATCCCTTTCACAGCTATACAATTTGTCATCTCCACATTGCATGCGCCACTTCTCTAGATGAAAAAAAATACCTCTGGTCAAGGAAAAAGAGTACAATCATTAAGAAGTCGAGACAAGAGGAAGGATGGGTAGAAACAGACAGTACACACCACCCCAATTGTCCGTTCAATGTAAGATAGTTTGTAAAATATTCGGTTTAATACATGTATATTATTGTCAAATCGTTTTATTTTACCTGTTCGTTTGATTTCTTTCATTTTAAATACATATAAAACTCATATAACAGAATTAATATATATTTTTAATGAATCAAATTGATAGTTTGAACATTATTTATATTTTCTACTTTTATAATATTTAATTTTATGACTATTGACGTAGTATTAGACATACCAATAGTAGGGACTTTGCTACGGTGACATGCATGTCATGGTGACATGCACTTTTCGGTCGACCTAATATGTTGTTTCAGTGTAAAAACGGTTTCATGGTGCCTACTTTGGATATTCATATCTTACAATTGGCTAGATGGAAATTGGAGATTAAAGGCTTGTTTTGAAGCTGAAGTGTCTCTCTACACATTAAAGTACTTGGGAGCTCAATAGAAAGTCCAGAAGACCATTTTTGAACCTGACCAAAAGGCAATGCCAAAACTGGGAAACTGCCTGAAAATGGCTAAGTCTGGCAACGTGTTTGTCAAGCCTACTTTGGGGCTCAATTTGAGAAGCATGGATGCGAGTCAAGTCCAGGGGCCTCTACCACGTTAAATTACGTATTTTTTTTTATATAAAGACAAGGCATTTGATGAAAGATTGAATATCTTTAAGACTTCAAACAAAAGGCTCGAAGTTGCTACGAATGCTATTTTTCTTGCCGCTTGCTTGTGCTCGAAATCTGCCAGAAAAACAGCCTTCGTAGCAACTTCGACCCTTTTGTTTGAAGCCTTACAGATATCCAATCTTTCATCCAATGCCTTGAATTTGTATGAAAACATACCTAATTTAACGTGGTAGAGGCTCCTGGACTCGACTCACATTCATGCTTCTCGAATTGAGCTCCAAAATAGGCTTCACAAACACGTTTCCAGACTTAGCCATTTCCAGGCAGTTTCCCAGTTTTGGCATAGCCTTTTGATGAGGTTCAAAAATGGTCTTCTGGACTTCCTATCGAGCTCTTAATCACTTCAATATGTAGAGGGACACTCCAGCTTCAAAACAAGTCATTAGTCTTCAATTTCCATCTAGCCAATTGTATGATATGAATATCCAAAGTAGGCACCATGAACTGTTTTTACACTGAAACAACAGATTAGGTCGACCTGATCCTATATGAGGTCGACCGAATCCTAAACGAGGTCGACCAGATCCTATATGAGGTCGACCGAATTCTAAATGAGGTCGACCTAATCCTAACTGAGGTCGACCGGAAAGTGCAAGTTACCGTGACATGCATGTCACCGTAGGCACACCCTAACACTTATTATTTTTTTATGGTTTTTTTTTTATGGTTATATTAACACTTATTATAAAGGTATTATAGTAACTATCTCTTGTCTCTTCCCCTTTCCTTCTCCTCTCCTCTTCATTTACGTTTCTTTTCTATGTTTTATTTACAAATTACAGTTTTGATACCTAAACTTAGTAGATATTGATATTTAGTACCTAAAATTATTTTTTTCTTGCATTTGAGCCGTAAAAATATCGATTAAAATTTACATTTTAGTACCAGAAATTTTTATTTGTTACAATTTGGTACCTGAACTTTTAAAAATTTACAAACAGATCTACTGCTAAGAAACTTATGACCTTCTTTGAAAAACTTTTGGCCTGCTTTGAGGTTCTGGCGTACTTTGAGATTCTGGGTTGCTATGAGGTGGTTCTGATTTTTGGCCTACTTTGATGTTCTAGCCTGCTTTAAGGAGGTTCTGATATCTAGCCTACTTTGATGTTCTCGCATATGCTTTGAGGTTCTGACCTGCTTTTGAGAAGGTTCTGACCTACTTTGAGGAGTTTCTGGCTTAGTCTGAATAGTTTCTGACATACTTCGGTGTTCTCCCTCTTTTCCTCACATTTAATGCAAAAAGGACGGTTGGTCTCCCCATTCTCATTCCCCAATTTTTCATAATACCAAGGGTGCCCCTCCTTTCCCTTTCCCATAATTAATTATGGTCAACTCATTTAAATGGAAAAGTAATTCAAATGAAATGTTCTTATTGGCTGAAACTATTGTTAGCATGCTAACCTTTCCCCATTAGTATAGATACAAATCAAAATATAAATACATATTTTATCCGTAACTTACACAGCAACATTGAAATTAATGGTCGTATTAGATTCTGCATGACCCTTCCAATACCATTGAAGATTAAGCCTCTCGTTCGATTTGATCTGTTCGCAAGGGTTGAAGTTCGGGGTTCAAGTAGTAAGAGTTGGCCACTGAGCACGCTTAAGTGGTCTGACTGAAAAATTTTCTACCAAAATCTAAAAGTTAGTAGCTGATTTTTGAGTGCTAGCAACTGTTGAATCATGAATTCTACACAAAATATCGGATATCCAATAACTGACTTTTTCAGTACAATTTTTAACACAGTTTTATGATCTTTGAAAAATACCCCAATAGTTAAAATCATATTTCGAAACACACATGGAAAGAAAATAGTACATCTTAAAAAAAATAGTAGTGAAAATATCCCAGCTGAAGGAGAGATCCACCATATAACATTTGTTATTATTTGTTAATTACTAAATCAGAAAAGAAAATTTTGTAACGTGTCAATTATTTGTATTTTAAATTACAAGGTTTCATTTGAATTTGTAAAGGGCATAAGTAAGCTTATACAATAACTTATCTGCACAAAAAGATTTTGGATGGACACGAAATCCACAATAACAAAACCAAAAAGCGAATAAACCAACAAACACCACTTGGTGAGTCCCGGCCTGAGAGTCAAACTAGCTTATGCCTTAGCTATAGCTAAGGATCTTTTTCCTCTTCCTTTCCTTCCTCTATATAAAGAAGCTCCTGTCCTGCAACCAAATAACCATCTCTCTCTCTCTCTCTCTCTGCTATACAGGAACAGAAGTAGCACAAGTACCCTCCCTTTGTCCGTCCCGTACTCATCAAGAGTCCAAAAGGCAGAAATGGAGGTTGAGAGGGAGAAGAAGACGAGGGCGGTTGATCATGAAGCAGCAGACAAATGGGTTCGGGATTCTTCCGTTGATCACAAAGGCAGAGTTCCTCTTCGATCTGCCACCGGTGCTTGGAAAGCTTCCCTTTTCATCATCGGTACGTACGTAATAATCATACTTGCCACTTACACTTCCCAACCCCAAACCAAACCCGCCCACACTCACTTTTTTAGCTACCTATTTTCCGCTTCGGTTTCTTTCTTCTCTTCTCATGGGATTGGGAGCAGCAGCTTTTAGTACTCTTCTTTCCTGGCTCCATCTCTTCAATAAGATAAATTAGCTAGATCGCAAAGCTACATAAACGAATAGTTAGAGACATATTTATGTGAGTCAAGAATAGTTTAATTTTAGAGTAGCAGCAGGTGAAAATTATGGATACTGAACCTTGTTTCTTGTAGCTTTGAGTAAGTTTGCGTTCAAAACACTTTGTCTTAGTGAGTAAAATTGAGATTAATAATATACCCAAGACAACATATAACATATTCCATATTCTAAATTAGATTCACTTTTATCGGGTAATGCCCTGTAAATTTGTAGGATTTGTCAGGAGGTATCAAATTCAAATTCATTAAGTAATATCTAACAACAAAAACTAAACTTATATTATCCTTTTAAAAAAAATTGAATTGTTTCTTCCAGAGGCATGGGGGATAGACAGATAAGGTAGGTATAATTGGTCTTCTCCACAAATGAGAATGGGATGGTGGTGGTGGGGCTATCAAATTGTTAAGGTTCCCAAAAGCAAGGCTTGAGTTCATTTGAGTAGTTCCATTTCCTCATTAAGACACTAACACTAGCTTGGAGAGTAGTAGTGACCAATTCCACTCGGCCAGTCAGTCAGTCAGTCAGTCCAGAACCACAAATATCCTTGTGGACTGCCATGATTCTCTCTCTCTCTCCCCCCAATATTGGCCCAAGTTGGGCTGTCACTCGGTCGGTTTCGGTTTAACCGAAAACCGAAATCTCGGTTTTCGGTTAAACCGAGACCTGCCCTGTGCCCAACTTCGCACTACTATTATATTGTGTCTTTGTTAGCGTTGACGAGTGGCTGACCCAACCAACTTTCGGCCAAGCATGTGGGCTGTCCTGTCGACCTCCGAGTCTTAAATAACACGTACGATGCCGTTTTGCTTTGATTCCTGCAGCCATCGAGTTCAGCGAGAGGCTAAGCTACTTCGGCATAGCCACCAGCTTGATCATCTACCTCACCAGGGTGATGCATCAGGACCTCAAGACCGCCGCCCGCTGCGTCAATTACTGGGCCGGCGTCACCACCCTCATGCCCCTCCTCGGCGGCTTCCTCGCCGACGCCTACCTCGGCCGATACTACGCCGTTTTCGTCTCCTCCATTGTCTACCTCCTGGTACCCTACTTAACTAGTCTCTTCTCTTAAATCAATCAATCAATTGTATTCTTAACTTTACCTATAATTAATTACTTACTTCATTTGAGATTTACCTACGCGTCCAATGGCAGGGCCTGATTCTCCTGACCCTGACCTGGTTCGTCCCCAGCATGACGGCCTGCGTGGGCGGCGGCGCGGCATGCCACGACCCACGCAAGGTTCACCAACTCCTCTTCTTCCTCGCCATATACCTCATCTCCCTGGGCACCGGCGGCCACAAGCCCTCTCTGGAGAGCTTCGGCGCCGATCAGTTCGACGACGACCACTCCGACGAGCGCCGCCAGAAAATGTCCTACTTCAATTGGTGGAACTTCGGGCTCTGCTGCGGCCTCCTGCTCGGCGTCACGCTCATCGTCTACGTGCAGGACCACGTCAGCTGGGGTGCGGCAGACGTCATCCTCACCGTCGTCATGGCCCTCTCCCTTGTCGTCTTCGTCGTCGGCCGCCCCTTCTACCGCTACCGCGTCCCTACCGGCAGCCCCTTGACCCCCATGCTCCAGGTCCTCGTCGCCGCCATCAGGAAAAGGAACCTCGCGCTTCCTTCCGATCCAGCTCATCTCTACGAGGTTGCTCATCCCTCCACAACCGCGCAAACTAGGCCGCTCTGCCACACAGATAACATCAGGTAAGCCTCAAGTAATGAATGCAATCTAGTGTGACAACCTGACAGGAGTTCCTATTACAAATGAAATGCATGCTTACAAACAAAATCGGCTGAAACTACAGGTTTCTAGACAAGGCGGCAATTGTCGAAAACAGAGGAAACCCTAACTCCGCCGCGGAAAAACAGAGTCCATGGAGACTATCGACGGTGACGAGGGTGGAAGAATTGAAGCTGCTGCTGAACATGATCCCAATCTGGTTGACGACTCTACCCTTCGGATTAACCGTGGCCCAAGCTTCCACGTTCTTCATCAAGCAATGCACAGTGCTCGACAGGAAGATCGGAAACAGCTTCCTAATCCCTCCGGCGTCAATCTTCGCCCTGACGGCGGTCGGGATGATAGTCTCCGTCACCTTCTACGAGAAGCTCCTGGTCCCGGTTCTCAGAAGAGTGAAGGGGAACGAGCGCGGGATCAAAATACTCCAGCGAATCGGGATCGGAATGCTCTTCTCTATTGCCACCATGGTGGTGGCCGCCCTGGTGGAGAGGAAGCGGCTCGCCGTCGTACACGACAATCCGGCTGGGGAAGGGTCGCTATCGATGAGCGTTTTCTGGTTGGCGCCGCAGTTTGTGATAATTGGGATCGGGGATGGGTTTACTCTGGTGGGTCTTCAGGAGTATTTCTATGAGCAAGTGCCGGATTCGATGAGGAGCTTGGGGATTGCTTTCTACTTGAGCGTGATTGGGGCGGGGAACTTCATCAGCAGTGTTCTGATAACGGCGGTGGATCGGATAACGGAGAGGAGCGGCGGGCAGAGTTGGTTCGGGAAGGATTTGAACGGAAGCCGGTTGGATAATTACTACTGGCTGATGGCGGCGATAACGGCTGTGAATTTGGTGGTGTATGTGGTGCTGGCTCGGCGGTACAAGTACAAGAATGTGCAGAGGAGTAATGTTGCTGTCGCGAATTGTCAGGAGGAAGATGAGTGGGTGAATTCGGTTGCTTAATTGACTGCTGCAAGGAAAAATGGTGATATAGTGCTGTTTGACTTTGGGATTAAATAACAGAAAGAATGTGGTGCTAGCTTGAGGATCTTGTAAGCTTTTCTTGTCTGTTTGAATGCTCGAGTCAGAAGGAGAAAAAAAATGTATACTAGTATATGTCTAAGGTTTTCAATTTCAGATGGTCGAAGAAGGTGAACTCCAATTTGACTCTAGTAGTACTCAACCATAGCAATGGATCTTTTAAACTTTATGAAACCATATTAGAGATCATCATATCGGTCATATTAGCAGTTTATAAAATGATAACTATAGTATTAATCATGTTGATGTGACTTGAATCGACCTATTCGTCGCTACAACTGGAAGTCACGGGAGTCAGCGAGTGGGGTCCAGGTGCAATGCCCGCGGTGTATGTGCTCAATGTTATTTGAGTTCGTGTTCTGGGCCTCGTTGTAACCGCTTTTCCTTTACTGGTTTGGATTAGGGTTAGACCTAGGAGAAGTACTATAAATACTTCTCATACTCCTCTGTAATCTGTATCTTCTCAAAATATACTGAAACTGGCTCTCTCTTGCAAGTGGACTAGCTAACACAAATTGTGTTAGTGAACCACGTAAATCGTATGTCATGTGTGTATGTGTTTGCGCTTTCGTTTCTTGCATTGTCGAATTCTCCTATTTTCCGATTCACAGAAAACAGTCGTGACAAACCTAGAACTTTAATAAAACGGTCATATGGCACTAAAGACAGTGCCAAAGCCACTTGGACCTCAAGGAGGTCTATATCATTGAACAAGGACCTGCGGGGTAATGACTATTAAACACAAGCTACTTCATGCTTTCTTCCTAAAATTGAACTAATTTATATGGACATGACTTAATGTCACATAAACCAGAAAGCAACATATATATCTTACTTCATGATCAACTAAATGCTTATATTATATATGAAGATAGTTGAGAGGTTTACAAGTTTGAAGGGAATTGCTAAAAGTTATCGAGAAATGATTTATGTAAAAAAAACATCGTATATTTTCCATTAGTTATCGACTTCTGAGGTTCATGACTCTTTTTTTTAACATTGGTCTATTTTTAAACAATATCAATAGAAGGATTTGTATTTTTAAACAGTATCATTAGACCTTGAAACTACAGGTCTCCTAGAAAAATATTGAAAATTAGAAGGATTTGTATTTTTAAACAGTGTCATTAGAAATTGATCTTGTACAAGTATGCACATTGAACATCATTTAGTTTGGAATCGAAAACATGAATCGGAATTGGATGTGCCGAAGTGATTAGCGGGCAAGGCTAGAAATCAAAATAGTGAAAAGTAGAGTGGAAAGTTTGGTACGTTATTTTTCTAGAATTATACATATCATAATAGTGCAACGCAACCAAGGGGTCATAGAATTATGTATCGTGTAGTGCCAGCATGTAGAGCTTCAAATTTTCTTCAATGGTCGGCCACTCCTTACAGTTACAGAATTACATCCTTCTTTTGGGTTAGGTTCCGGGTTTCCCGATAAAGCTCCTTAAGGTCTGGCCGCTAAAGATTGAGCCATTGAGCTCAATTGTGCTTCAAGATTTTGAAGTGTTGCTTGAGGATTTCTTTGACCAGCCGCTAAGGTTTAAAACTCGTTTGCGGCGTTCTCCACTAATTTATCAACCGTGTCGAACCTACTTGTGGCAATGTTGATGAAATGTCCCACCATATCTTCAAGCTTTGTCCGACGATTATGCAAAGATCAGCTTTGATCTAAGTAGGGATCTTGGCTTCAATACGGGTTGGACCTTTGAAATGGAGCTTGTATCGATGCTTGCCCTTAAAAATCGGGAGGTTTCCTATGCGATGGTGAAGATCATAAAAAATTAGGATGAATCCTCCATCACGGATTGTAGGTAGCAATATAGAGATTGTTTCCTCTTTGTTGTCCTCCAAAAAATACTGAATAAATACTTCTACCATTGCTTTGAAATCTTCTAAGTTATGATTGACGTTGCCACACCAATCGCACTTCATCAATTACTATTACTCTTCATAGCCGATGGGACAAGATCAATCTTCTTTGTTAATTCTTGAAGATGAGTCATCAATGAGGATGGTTCTTCAATTTGTAGCACATTAACCCTCCTTGTACTCTTTCCTCACCTTCCATCGCCCTAATCGTAGCTATTGAGAGCAATTTCTTTAATTGGCCTTTGCAATTCCCCCACTTCTTTGTTCCAAATAGCTCATCCACTAGCAGCATCAATCAAATTTCAGGACTCATCGAGTTACCCATTATAGAAGCTCTCCACTTGTAGCCAATCGGTTATGGCGTGGTGCGGGCACTTGAGAAGTGGTGAGGTGAAACTTTCCCAAGCTTCAAATAATGGCATGTCTTTCTCTTGTTTGAACATTTGAATTTCACTTCTCATCAATGTCGTATTTGAAGGTGGGATGTATCTTGCGAAGAACTTATCAGAAAAATGTGCCCAACAGGTAATAGAATGATGTGGATGGTTGTTCAACCACTATTTCGGCGCTCCACTAAAGGTAAAAGAAAAAATCCTTAGTCGAATCGCCTGTTGAGGAACTCCGTTTACTTTGATACCATCTGTAATCTCATAAATGTTTTAATGTGAGCATGTGCATCTTCACTCATCAACCCATGGAATTGAATCGCATTTTGAAGCATAGAAATCGTTCCCGACTTGATCTCATAATTGTTGTTAGGGATAGTTGGGCAGGGGCAAAGCTACACAGGGCCTAAGGGGGGCCCCGGCCCCCCCGAGAATTTCGAAAATCATGAAAGAATGTACGAGTATTCTGAAAATTACGAAGTAAATACAGGTTTTATAATAATGGCCACGGGTTAAAATGTATCTATAGAAGCTGATTACCGTAGTGGAGTTGTAGTGGTTCTGTATTCGGCAGGTCAGCGGTTCAATCCCCACTTATGTCAATTTTTTTGTTGGAGTTTTTTTACAATTTATAGCTTTAATGGAAAAATGTCCCATTCAACGGAAAAAAAAAAATTTCCCCCCGATAAGTTTAACAACAATGTCAATCTAATTATTTGACAAAACATGTCGTATATTTTGATAATTCACGCAATTAATTTATTTATATAGTTCTATAATTATTTTGATTTTTGTCTAGTTACGATAGTATACGAAACATTTTCGGGCCCCCCAAACACAAAATCCTAGCTCCGCCCCTGTAGTTGGGTGAAGAATAAGATATTGCACATTCTCCACACTCGGCCTCGAGAATGACTCCATCGTCCTCGGCCTCGGTTCTGGTTGGGGGGAGGTTGAGGTTGTAGTTGAGGTTGGGGTTGTTGAACCACCATCGGTTGAGTTTGAAGTCTTGTTGTTCTTCTACTACCTCGAAGGGTTCTCTCAGACTCCGTATCAAGAGGTGTTGTCTCAAGAGAGTCTCTCCTTTGTGTACAAATAAACTTTAAAACAAAACCTTGAACACCCGTGACGTACAAAGTGGGATAACAAAAAAAAAAAGATGAAACTAATATATATGGCAAAGACTAGCGTACGTTTACCTTACCGATTTGTCATGAGATCGATCCACTCACCAAGTCTAGGGGAACCACTAGGAGAAGCAACTAGCAATCCATTTGTCACGGATGGATTCGCTAGGGATCGATCCTCTCACTCAGGCTCTACTGGCTGCTTAGGTCTTTCCCTCAAACCAGAGTTTGAGCGGCTTAATCACAACCAACCTAGATGCAAACTGGTAATCGCGAACCGCAGAGGGATGCATATGTGGTCGGAGACCACAATCTCAATTGCTAAACCGAGGTAAGCATGAAAGGACGTGTCACTCGACCCTCTTGGTTTAGAAAATTGGTAGTTGACTTACTCCCTCACTCAACTCTAAGGTCGGACGGCTTAATCGCAATTAACCGACTTGCTTAACTCAATATTGAGGGTTGCCCTAACTTAACCTAGTTTAGGTGGCTTAGAAAGCAGAAGGAAAACCAACTCGATTGAGTCTCCCATTGCTAAGGTGGCTAACTAGATTGCTAGCACCAACATGCACAAACCTAAGGGTGATAAGCACAATTATTCACAACCCTTAGATTGCTAAGCACGAGCAAGCACAATCACCATGAAAACACCTCTAATACTCAAATTGATGCAAACCCACACTTAATCATTCAATCTAAAAAGGCAATTACAAAGTAATGGTTAAGGATCTACAACACCCAAGAGAAAAGAGTGATTTTCTAGAGAGAGAGAGAGAGAGAGAGAGAGAGAGGGATTACAAATATGAGCTCAACATCTTCTTCTTCTTCTAGGCTTGAATCTTCCACCCAAGCCTCCAAGGATGCTCCAAGATCACTATAGAACTCTCTCTCTCTCTCTCTCTCTCTCTCTTACTAGAACTCCCCTTTGGTGTTTAGGTTGAAACCCTAGAGAAAGAAATTGTTTCTTCTCCAAAAACCAGCTCTCCTTTCTCTCTCCCCGCTGTTGTCTTCATATTTGCCCGAAAGCGATCAGTTCACGGACGCATTGGCCAGTTCACGGCCGTGAACACCTAAACGCGTCCGTGAACTCAGCGTCGTCCAATACGCACCACTTCACTCGCCTGGGTTCACGGTCAATGGCCCCAGTTCACGGTGTTAGAGACCGTGAACTGCCTTGTCGTTAGTAACTTAACGAACCTCGTTGGACTGCTCGATGTTCACGGTTTGTGGTCCATGTTCACGGTCTTAGGAGACGGTGAACTGCCTTGTCCGGCCGTGAACTGCGGCTGTTTCCTGGGACACCTTCAGTTCACTACTACAAGTCAATTGTCACGGACTTCGGACTTTTCTTCGGTTTTTGCGCTTTTCGACCTCCAAATATCCCAAAACTCATCCTCGACCCTTCCACACGTGCTAGGACCTGAAATGTATCAAAACAAGCGCAACCTAGCGTGAAATATGTCCAGGAACGATGAAATACTAAGCTAAACGAATAAGAAATGAGGGGTAAAATGTGTACATTTGAGCACGAATCACACCCCACACTTAGACTTTTGCTTATCCCCAAGCAAACCAAATACAAAACAAGGTAAGCTTACAACTTCTTTTTCAACACAATTTTTGGGGCATGTCATAGGGCACAAAACGAATGAATCACAATGGTTATTTGGCACCGACCTATGGACTAAAATAAAGTAATCTTGGCAATCACCACAAACGACATTCAACTGTATTAAGATTGTGCAAAAGAAGAGTTCTCACATTATTTATCAACCAACATACAACATGCCTCGACGACTCACCAATCACAGTTACTCATGCATGAAGATCACATCATAGGAACGAACGATCAAGCAACCTAGGTCCTCACTGGGGTAAAAGAAATGAACAAAACATGATGAAGAATCGCTCACTCTCGACTAGTGGGGTCAGGACCATTTGATGCAAAATATGTTCATATTGACGCTCAATCCTAAAGTCCCTTTACCATGACGATAACCTCTAAATGTTAGAGCTCACAAGATGGGTGTCATTGCTAGCTTGTCCGTAGGTTTTGGACACAGGTTCAAATGACTGGCTAGGGTCTAGGACAT